GCCGCCCCTGCTGCTGCTGCAGGGCTCGCGAAGCTAGCATAGGCCTCGGACTTGAGAGTCTTGGGCGATCTTGTAGTCTTTGGTCTCGAGCCAAAAACCTGCCCAGTGCGAAAGTCGGACTCCATACGACGCCCTGCACACGCGGAAGGCATCACCCAACCTTCAGGACCAAAGTCAAGCACATCCACAGCTGCGTGCCCTGAGGGAAGAGTCGTCATGTTGCACTCTCCATTCACTTTGCTGAAGGTGATCTTGTCTTTGCTTAGGTCAATGACTGAACCCAAGGCCCTCAAGAGACTAACCGGCAACAGCAATGGCACGTCTTCGGCTACGACTGTCAGCTCAAGCACTCCTGGAACTCCACCGAGGCCGATGGGAACTTCGCACACGCCGACTGTTTTTGCTGCGCCTCCAATGCCGCGTGCCTGGGTGGCCTTGTCCGTCCAGCAGCCTTTTAGGCCTAGGGGCCTCAAAAGGTCCAGCAAACGAAGAAGGGAGCGATGGCCCCGCTCGGTGCCTACACTCCTTGCTCCAATGCCCGACTTCTCCGCAAGCCCGGCATCGAGTCCTAAGCTTGAGCTGCTCCATGTGCACTCTTCGTGACGTAGGCGACCCCTTCCATGCCGAGCCGCCTTTGCCGAAGGACTTGCTGCTCTGCTTGCCGGTGTTCTTGCCGTCCTTGTTGAAGAGCTTCTTGCCCCCTTTCTTGCCAAGGTTCGGCTGGTAGTACTGCCGGCCCTTTTGCTGTTCTTTGAGCTGCTGCCGAACATGTTGGTACGACGCCAAAGCTTCCATGATATCGCCTTCCTCGTACACCGCGTCCAGCTCGCCGTCTTCTAGGTACACGTAGTTCTCGTCTTCTTCGTCTTCCGCCTCCAGGTAGAACTCGGGCTCGCCATAGTGCTCGTGGTTCTCGTAGTACACCTCCTGGCCTTCGCCCTCTTCAGTCTCCGTCCAGAGCATCGCCTTGGACCCGGAGCTGCTCGAGTTGATGCGGTCAAGTCGCCTTAGGTTGGCGATCACCACATCCTTGGTGTAGTCGCCAGCCAACCACGTGACCACACGGGACTCCAGCTCTTTGTCCAAGTTCGCCTGCCGGAACAGCAAGTATCCGGCAGCCTTCGCCGGAAGGTCCACGCCCTCGGCTTTGAGCTCCGCCAAGGCATGCGACGCGCGCACCAGGTAATCCGGGATGGACTCCTTGGCACCTCTAGCCTGGCCATAGAACACGCCCTCCATGGCCCTCGGCAACGCTGTCTCCACATACGGCTTAAAGTTGTCGTTGAGCACTTTCATCACCGTCTTGTAGCCGTCCGCATGCTGGAGCTCGGCCAGCGTCAAAGACGACACCGCCTCCCTTGCTGGCCCTGTGAGAGCTTGAACCAGCTTGATCGCCCTCTTCTCCTTGGGAATATCCGTCGTGGCCTCCCACAGCTCAAGATCTCGAAGCCAGGTCTTGAAAGAGACCTCTGGAGTGGAACCGTTCCAAGAAGGTGGGGGATCTCTATCTCGGTAGACATATCCTCCAGGATCGCCTGAGGACTGTCCTTCCGAAGTAGATGGCATCTTCACTCACTCGCTCTTGTAGATGTCGACGTGGCTGGGCTCGATCAGATACGTCACCACCTTCCCGCGGCTGATCGGTTAGAAGGCGAGGAGGGAAACAGCAGGCCCCTGGGACCGCCGGCTGCGACGCCACACACGCCGCCAAGAGCCACGCAGGCTCCGCTACCAACTGACAGCGCCCACTTCGAATCTATGGCTCGGACTCAATTTTACGCACACTGCAAAGTCAGTAGCTTAAGGATCAAGAGGGCCCTCTGTGGGCCGAAAAGAAAGACCGCGGGTGATATGGCCAGGGAGGAAGCCTCCACTGATTTCACAGCTGTCAGTTTGTAAGAAGATGGGGCACTAAGATCATTTGACCATTCTGGGGCTGGAGAGGAGTTCTAGGCGTCCGCGGCATCCACACTTTTTTACAAGACGAGCAAGAAGTGTGCACACTGCACATCTCCGCAGCAAAAAAGCAAAACAGGAGGCGAAAAGCTTGAAGAGACTGAGGCACCCCGGGGATCATCTGGGCACCCGGCCCTTGGCACCGGACTGGTCCACGTACTTGGGGAACCAGCGCTTGTGGCCGTAGCGCGCCAACCAGTATTCGTTCTCCTCGGCAGGAGAGGCAGGAGAGACTTCGCTGCCGATACGTTCCGCTCGCAAGTACTCTTGGGGCTCTCTCCATGACTCATGGGCTTATGCTGTTTGTGCAAGCCAAGGGGCCGCGATCTTCTTGGGATCATCCAGGCCAGCCTGAAGGGCTCTCTATCTGCGACAGAAGTGACTGTTGCTGATGATGCATCCCCGTCCGGCCCTTCTTGGAACTGCTCTTTAACTCTTTAGCCGCTGATGCTTCCGTCTCTCGCTTCGAACGATGGTTGAGCGTCGTTTGATTGTATCTGGCTCTTGGCTGGCTGATGCTGACTGTACGTGCACACGCATCGGCTACAATTCAAAGAGATGCCCAGGCCAAGAAAAACAACGCGTTGCCGCCTGGGCGATCTCCTTCTTCAGCTGGCGCCTCGGCGCTGGGATCAAAGACATATGTATGTATAGCTTAAGCGTAAAGTACATTTGTATTGTATAGTACACACTATATACTAACAATGTATGTGTACATATATATACATATACATATACTACTTACACTACATATGTGTTTTCTACATAATGTAATCTTCCAATACAGGTTATACTCCCTCTCTCTCTACAAACATATATATATATATGCACATGATTCGGGACTGGGCAACACCACATATGCATGTGTCTCTTCTGTGTACGTTCGTGGAAGCTTCGGCCAGCCCCGAAATTACGCTCTCGAAGAGAATTATGCAAAACTTCAAGAAGCAAAATAGGAAACTACTTACCTGATTGAAAATTCAATTTGTTCCCCGTGAGATGGTCGCATTCCTCTCCTCGCCGGTTTATCATCAATGGGAATGGGGTGTAGAGATCTCTATCTTCCTTCCTTCCAGCGAGCGTAGCCTCTATCTATCCATTCATCTTCTTCTATGGGGTCATAAGGGAGCAGAGGCCCCCGAGCGCAACACGTGCCCGAGTTCTGTCTCTCTTCTGCAGGGCATAAGGCTCGAAGACTACACGCGCGCAGGCTCCCAAATCTATATTTGCGAAACTGCAAGACATGCAAGCCGCCGGCACGATCTCTCTCCCTCTCTATCGGCAACACGGCCTATGTGCGGGAACAAGATCTTTCTGCCCTCCCTGGTCTTTCTCAACGAATCGATCTGCCATATCTTTCCCGGAGAGCACGACTCGCCCTGAAGACCCAAAAAGTGGTTCGGTTCAAACCCATTCTAACGTTCTAGTACAGGTCGCGCAGGTCGCGCTCGGTGAGGCTCAGGCAACTTGTCGTTGTTGCCACTCCCGCCGAAGCACTGGCGCAGTTGAAAGGCGTCCCTAAGCCTAGATGTGCTGCCGTCTTCTTATCTCTAGATGTTGCATTCCCCACGCCTCACCCACCTTCCACTTGATAGGACCGATCTGAAGCCTCAAAGCAGATCTCGATGATCTCACGTCTCTTCATATCGTTTCAAGAAGACCAGCATGGAAGTTGCGTTGCTTTTCTAAGGCAGCTGCGGAGCGGGGCAGTCAATGCCTGCCTTGAACTCCTGGTTTCATGGTTGTAAAGATTTCTCATCCTGCAACATATGTATTGTCAAGCCTGGCTCAAAGACTAAAACCATGTCCTCGGGGGAGGCTCGCATGCGGTAGCGGTAGCCTCACTGCTCAGGCAGCTCTCGCTGTGCCGGTGTGGCCAAACAGGCCAAACATCTAACAGGTCACCACTTCACCACACTTCACCCCACTTCACCACGCGCCTTGCGCCCACTGCGACTTCTCGAAGCCCTTCTCTCCGATCCAGAAGCCTTCCTGGTCAGATTGCTCCACACTGCTCGACGCTGAATGTTCGGACGCCCCAGTGCCCCCGAAAGCCCCCCAAGCCCGGCCGAAGTCTGCAAAGAACGGTCGCCCTCCGGGGCTTCAAGCAGCATCTTGTCCAGCCCTTGGAGGGTTGCAACTTTGAGAGCCACAGAAAGAGTCTTTGAATGAGTCTTGCCAGGTCTTGCTGTGGGTCCAACTGTATCCCCTCATCTGAGTGGACCTCATCGTTGCATCACGGCCAACTGCACCACTTCGTGCATACACAGCAGCGAAACTACATCAGCACATAAGGCGCCGACGTAGTGCGGGAACCAGTGAGGCCAGCCTCACACAGACCAGAAATCTGGGACATCATGCAATGGGACAGATGCAGCACTCATAAGCCCCGTGCCCCCACGAAGCTCAGGCCATCAAGAAAGAGATAGGTAGCGCCCAGCACGAAGGCGAGACTGAACAGGAGCAAGGGATAGAAGCCCCCCAGCATGATAGCCCCCACCCTTGCTTTGCTTCTGAGATCCCCACGCCCCAGTCTGACCCAATGCACTTCGTCTCATGGCCATTGCCTGAATCAAAGCTCAGCTCCTAGCTACTCGCAGTCCACACTCAATCTCCAGTACCATCTTACCCAGGCCGAACAAAAATGATGATTTGAGCCATGTCCGTGTTTCCACAGCGTACATGTTTGGATCTCCCATGCCGCCCCAGTGGACCAGAAACTACATTAAGCGTTCTCGCACGCCATCCATGGGCCAGCAGAATTCCAACCAAATGCCAAACTTGCGACCACAGTCCCCCCCCCTTTGAAACTTGGCACCGGCTCTTTCTTTGCGGGCTTCATTGGGCCCTCGGTGGGGGGATGTGCTACATCTGGCCTCCGGAAGATCACAGCTCGGCACTGCTGGTCGTAGAGAAAAACAGCTGCGGCAGAACAATGGACATGAACTTGCACGTGACATCTCCGACGGTGGACACGACACAAGCAGCTCAAACGGCTCAGAGCTGATTCGGGCTCAAGGGAACTGTGCTCCCAAGGCGGTGACCACAAAGGCCGTCTTCTTGAGCCGCTTGAGGAAGGGCTGGAGCTCAAACATAACGGCCTCTCAGCTCTGGGACAACCCCCACCTCTAAGGACTTCAGCAATAACAACCCACAAATGTCTGACTCACATGCTCAGCACCATCCTAGGAGCCACAACTGTACTTACGGATGAGCATGAAAAGAATACTTCGAAAGTCTAGCTGGCTTCAGTTTAGCGCCTGCTGCCAACACAACCAAGCACAACCAGATGCAAGCCTTGGCATCAGCATGCACCTCGCACCGGGAGTCTTTCTTTGAAATTATCCGAGCATCAAGCCGTTTGCCGAGAGTTTGGGTAGCACATGCAACTGCAAACGAAGCAAAGTGCCATGAAGGCGAGCAGAAAAAGTCTGTGGACACCACCTTCTTCTGGAAGCCCTCAACGCTGTAGGTACCAAGGAGCTCCTGAAGACAAGTCAGCGGTTGGTGTACCGCAGTCACGGACCGCAGGAAGTACTGGCATCGCAGGACAGCTCTTTATCGATGGAGCTCTGAATTCTGCGTGAGACTCTGCCTTTCAAGCGGCGCATTCTTGCACCGCGAATTCGACCTACGCCTAGCTACGTGACCTAATTCAGTCCAGGCCCAGAACAGTGTCCTCAGCTACTCCGAGCAGGTCGAATTCAGCTGAGGGGAAGGCTCGGGTGCAACATGGCGTGACAAGCACAGAAATACAGACTTGAACTGATTACACAAGCAAACATACCAGATACTTCTCCAAGAGCTGTCGCCGGGCTTCCAAGCTTGCAGGAGCTTTGGGGACGCTCGCGGCTGGAGGATACCCCGATGTCTCCGTTGCCGGCTTCTCCGGCTTCTGCGGGTATCCAGAAGCTTGCGGCTGCCGGGCCATCGCTTCCCTCTTGGAAGATCCTTCAGAGAGCTTCAGCACCTCAGAGACGTGGAAGAGGGATGAACTGATGAACTGTCGAATGCTGCCTAGAACGAGGAGACGCCCATGAGGCCGCAACAATGCAAAGAAACAATGACAAGACACCGCTTCTCGGGCAGTGCAAAACAAGCCGAGATGCAACAGCACGGCGCTCATCTGATACGTAGATGCTTCCATCACTGCCCAGAGCCAGTCCCCACCTTTCCAGCGTTTTCAGTGTGGAGATTGCGAGCGTCCAGACGTGAGCAGAACGCGCAGAACCGAACCCACAGACCCTCCATTTCTTGCGGAGCCGCGGTCGCTCCAGAAGGTCTGGGCCTGCCACCAGCTCGCCGGAAGCCCCTCCTTCCGGATCTTCTCTCTGTGCGTTTCATGGCGACATGAGGACACTGTGAGGACACTGTGAGGACACTGTCAGGACCCGCACTTCCCTGACCTCCGACCCAACCTAGTCGACTGCACTGAATGACTGGAGGGAGCGGCTAGAAGATGGCTAGAAGAATTCACATTCCAACTCCTAAGAGAACGATGCAAGCCAAAAGCCAAGCCAAACACCGCATGGCGCTGTTACGAGCTGTCGCCAGAAAAGCAGCCTTTGAGTCGCCTCCTCGAAAGCGCAGCACTCGCCCGTTCGCGCGGTCCGCGACCAGAAAGCTGCCATCCGCCTCGACCACAAGGCCTGATGTTCTACAAAAAGGCACGGCGGGGGGCTATGCAGAGGATGGGCACAGTGCTGCCCTTTCGGGCCTGTGGGCATGTTCAGCTCGTTCAGGCTGTCCCCAGCTTTGCATTCCGCAGACCCGGCTACTGTCACTCCTCTCAAGGCAAATCTGCACAGCCTGGGCCTTGGAAGACAGCGACACGGTGTAGCGCACCTATTTAGCACCCTCCCGGAATTCGGCTTAACCTGCGACTGCCTTCCCGCTCTCCGGGCCGAAAGCGCTGTATTCGATGGTTGTTGGTGTCCGATACCTTCGAAACTTTCCGGAACGATTCGGAACTCTCAGCTCTGCAAGGCCATCACAAGTAAATTTCCTCGCAAAGCTGCCAGCAAAGATCCATCCGCACAGAAGGCCACGGAGCTTGGGAAGTTCAACTTCGTGGCTTCGCTTCCACCTTCGGGCGCTCAAGCTGGACAGCTAGATTCACTTAGATGCTCCTCCCGGACCCCCAAAAACGAAGCAGAATGCAACTTGAGGGCCTTATGCAAAAGGAGAAGAAGTCTCCGCTAAAAAAATATCTGTCGGCCAAGCAGCAGGAGTTCGGCACTCCGGCGAGCACCTCGGGAGCGGAGGTCCCGCGGTACCGCAGCACGCGGTGGCCTCTGCGTGACTCGCAACACTCTCTCTGGAACAAGTGTGGCCCAACCGATTGAAAGCAGCTGCGTGGAGACTCTCTTACATGTACAAAAAAAGTATATATAATCTTTTTGACATGCTTTGACCGCAGTGGAGGGACTCAAAGTAGCTGAAGGCGCTTAAAGCAAAAAACGTTTCGCTGCATTGGGTTTGCGTTTTGGCATGGCTTGCCCTCGCCTTTTGGTTGCCCTCGCCTTTTTCGCTCAGCTCGTGGCTCTCGCACGTGGTGCATCCGAGCAGCTCCAGGTGTCACAGACGACAACGTCATCTTCTTGGCGGACAATGGCACGGGGATGCCTCAGCTTCTCAGATTCGGCACAGCTGAGTGCCACGAAACGCTCAAAGGTGCGCCATGGGCTGTGCTGCGTCTCGGCCCATGACTTCAGGGCCTCAGGTGCTGCCACCGACTTCGCCTTGGTTCCGCTCTGCTCCAGGGCGCCACGACGTCTGCAAAAAGAACACCGGCTCAAGTACCGAGCAAGCAACTAATAGCAACTAGCCTTCCAAGTGAAGCTTCACTGAACGAACTTGCGCGAAAGGACCGGAGGAGCTGTTGGATGTGGAACGAGCACACGGCCAGCTGCAGACTGGCCTTTCACGAGATGTCTCTGGGCTCGCGTCGAGGCCGGGGTGCCTTTTTTGGAGCCTTGCTCTCTCCCCTTCTTCTTCTCCTCCTCCTCCTCCGCCTCCTTATCTTCTTTCTCTCTTCCTTCTTCTTCCTTCCACTGCACCTGGTCCCCCTGTGTGGGGGGACCGCCCTAACGGGCGAGCTCCAGCGAACTGTCTGTGTGTGAAACATCCGTGGTGCTGGGGTTTTACTCCAGGAATGTACTGTGTGTTAAGCGATGCGTTCCAAGCTAAGTCGAGGTTGCACATACAAACAAGGCGGGCATTCCTGTATGTGAGGGGACCCCCATGCCAGTTCACACCACCTCTCTCTCTCTCGCTGCGTGTGCTGCTTTGCCAGGCTTTGCCTCATCTACCCAGTAACAGCATCTAAGAGTAGGCCTTGTCACAATTACGAAGGTCACTTGCCTGCCTCCGGGGCCTGGCTGGAAGGCTTGCACTCGCGCAGCAGCACAATCCAGCACCAGGAGCCCATCCCTCAGAATTGGTTGGTACCGAGCACTTTTTGCGTCGCGAGCGCTCTGTGCTTCGCGAGCAAAGTGCTTCTCAAGCAGAGCTTCTCAGCTTTGGATCACCGGATGTGTCAACTAAGTCAGACTCGGGCTTGTGACCACGTCAATGGGGTTCTTGAGGAGGAAGCCGTCCCCTTCTGGTGCAGCAAGCGGACGATCGATGTCCTGCTTTGCACAGCAGCGGTTGAATCCAAAACCTTTTCAAGCGCGCTGCAACGGTCATGCTGCATGCTGATGTCCTTGAGATAATCCACGTCCATCAGCTGCTTTCCATCTTCCCCAGCGACAACCTGACCGCGAGCGTCGTCTGCCGCATAGCGGAAGATGCAGTAGCTGCCGAAGTCTGCCACATAAAGGGAGCCATCCTCTGCTGCATGGAGATCAGAAAGAGCACAGGCAGCAAAAACATGCGAAAACCTCCCAAGCACTAACCGGTGTGTGTGTGTGTGTCGACCCGCAATCACTAAGATGCCAACGGCATCCACGTGGATCCCCCGTGGCTGGCTCATCAGGCGACGGCCATCTTTCCCGATGCCCTTGCCTCTGCTACCTACCATGTGGCCGAAGCGCTTTAAGCTTGACTCAGGAATTCAGAGATAAAGGGGGGACCCAAGAAAAGAAGTGTGCGCTCCAAGGCAGGCCTGCACCATATTGAAAGGCGACGCTTGCGCCTGAAGAATGCTTCTGCATGCGAATTCAACAGCCTCACTGCCTGAAGTCTCTCATCTAGTCTAGCGATTGGTGCGTCGAGAAGCCAATCGGTGCCATGGCAGCGCTCCGGAGCCAGGCAGGGGCAAGACTACTATGTTATTGAAATATTGCATACGGCTGTTGCTCAACTTGCGACTTCCTTACAACAGACGGGCATGCATGAAAAGCCTAAGTAAGCACACTGCGTGACATGAAAACAAGCAAAGTAAGCAGAGCCTGCTTGAGAGACACAGAGCGGTCAGTCGCATCTTCCACTCGAGAAACACAGCGGACCCTGCGATTCCGACGGCGGAGGAACGGACGGAAGTCCTCCAGGAGCTGCTCTGCTTGCGCCTTGGTGAGTGTCCTCAACTCCGGGGTTCGCGGACACCGACTCACCGTGAACCAGCTAATGAACCCCCCTTGGGAACCAATGAGCTGCCCTTTGCAGAAGTACGTGTTGAACGCGTTCCACGTCTGGACCACGTCATGCACTAAAGACAGAATCTCTCGGCTCCTGGTCCGCTCGGCTGAACGGTATCCAAACGGTGGCCTCAGCTTCCGGCACAGAATCACATGAGGAGCTACAGGGACCGTCCCCGGACTAAGCTCAGAGGGACCGTCCCCGGACGCTCTTGCAATGGCCAAGATCAACATCCCCATCGCGAAACCACAGAAACGTGACATCGGGTCCCACACCTGTTGGGCGTTGGCATCTCCGGCTCCTTCGGCTGGTCGATGATGGGTTTGCCCTCCTTGGTCCGATAGAAACGCATCAGTGGCCAAGCACTCTCTGTACCTCTGGCTCACCGCATGCCTCCTTCTTTTTCAACAAGCGGAGGCTCTCTCTCCGTAAGACAGCAAGAGATTCACATGACAGTCGGAGACAGTCCGTCCACCGTCCAAGTCCGGCTCAGATGTGTGTCCCAGTGCAAAGAAACTACTACAGTGTACTACACCTCCCTGCGAACCACCACGCCATGTCAGTTCAGCACAATTGCCGCAGTAGAGTGCACGAGCCAGTGCAAGCGCAGATGACCGCCGATGTCCTTTAAGGCCGCTGATATTGGCACCGCCTGCGCCATCATGCTCCAGGGGCTCCGTCGGCAAGACTCTCAGCTGGAATCGAGCCAGTCGATAGCGCCGCAAGGCACTGAGCGGTACCTATGCCTGGGGGTACACAAAAGCATCCCGGACACCGTAGTTCAGGGAAACGTCGTCCGTGACCACCAGCCTCACAAAGCAACAATGCGTTTACGCAGAAAACCATAGCAGAAGAGTCCTAGCAGCACATGTGTCCGAGGCCTGCAGGCATGCCGAGCACGAGGTGACAACCTGGCAGGCTGACACTTTGAAAGTTGCCAACCCCTCTTGTCGTGACCACGCCTCTCGTAGAGGTCTCTGGGCATGCAGCGCGGGGCCAGCTTCCAGGGATTCCGCCACAGCTCATCGGTCGACCCGACGCACCACCACGCGGCGGCAAACTCCACATTGGGCAGGAATCTAGTTGACTGGGACCTTGGGCAGGTAACCAAAAAATGTCGAGACAAGCCTGGATTCTGGCCACGCCGCATGTTCCGCTAGACATGAAAAAAGCGACTGTGCAGTCAGCGTTACAAGTTGCTCCCCTGCAAGGGCCGACACCGACTTTTACCTTGCCTTCGACAGCTTGACAGCAGAAATTAAGCAGTTTTGAATCTGCGCGGTACCCATGCTCTTGGCTGGATTGGAGATTGGAGTCGACATGAGGCCATCTTGTAAGAATCGCATGGCCAATGGTGTTCATCGGGAAAGCCGTACTGTAGAGCTTGCGCGGTGAGTCGGCCCAGTGGGCCCTTTTCCCCTCAGACGTTGGCCCCTCCCGTCTCTTCGGCCCTCCCATCTCTTCCGCCTTCGGCCTCTTCGGCCATCCCCTGCCTGTTCATCTGTTTATTGTTCAACTTGCACAGACTGACCAGGCCTGAGAACGGCCCAGCACATTTTGCGCATCCTGGTCCCCAGCTGAGCTTCTGGGGACCGCGCAAGTTTGGAGTGCCTCCATGCCAGGCTCGATTGTCGCGCAGGATAGCGGTGCCTGACCAAAGTGATCCCGAGTGATTCCCTCCGACCATGACCCCTGCATTTGTGCCCATGCTTGCACAGCGCCTGCCGGCACAGGGCAGAAGGTGAAGAGCCGCCATAGGCCGGGCTCCAAGTTTGGCTCAGGAGGCCGCCATGTCCAGGGTGGGCGCCCCGAAGGAATGACGTGCGTGCCAGGTATCAGCCGCCTGACAACACCATGTCGGTAATGGCGACAGCAGCAACACGTAGAAACTGCAATACGAAACTGTCCCAACTGTCACGCCAACGCTAAAGCTTCTAAAGAGGACAAAGCTTCGTCGGGCCGTTGTCCCACGTCAGCGGCTGCAGCGGCACGTTTAAGGTAACGACGGGTGAGGCTGGCTGGTCGTGACACCCTGGGAAGTCTAGATCCACATGCAGCGGCTGGTACTCACGGGTGTTGGGAAGGACAAAGTCCCCACCGGCACCGGCGCACAAGTAGCCGGATGTGCCAAAGATACTCTGAAGAACTGGGGTGACCTGTGTGCGGCAGCAGGCGGCACAGCACACAACCATCCTACCATCCACCCAGCATCCACCCATCACCATCCCACCTTCTCCAGGTCAATCAGGGAAGCCCACTCAGGACGATGCAGAAGATGGCCAGTGATCTGAGCCTCAGCAATCTTGCCTCCCGAAATTTTTCAGCACCCCCTGAACCGAGGTTACTCGGGGGGACATGTTGCAGCGGTGTTTGCTTGGGCTTTTGTTTCGGTCTGTAGGAAGGCTTTGAACTCGAGGTGGCCTCACCCAGTGAGTATCGACCCCGTCCACGGTTGCCGAGCCCATGGGGGTCTTTGCCCCTCATCTCCGCCTCCTCTGTCCGGCAGGCCATCAGCAGCTCGTGGCAGAGTTTCTCACTCACCGCACCGGGTATAAGGACGAAGCCCGCGGAGCGGAAGATGTCGGCTGCCAGCTCAGCATCTCCCTGAACGCAGTAGAGGTCAAGCTCAGGCAGTCCATTGCCTTGGTGCAGTTGTTGCCGAAGATCACCATCTTCGCGGTGGCTGTTGCGGCCTCGCACCTGAAGGGTCCGCCTGTACACGGCAGCCCCAGCCAAGAGCAGCCCAGCCCTGGTGGCCCTGGTGGCCCTGGTGCAACTTCGTCGACCTCGTGCTCGCAGGGGTCCGAGTGGGTGCCGACATGGGGCAGGACCGCGCAGCCCACATGCTGGCCCGCATGCAGCAACCGAACAACCCCATCCGCTTGCAGACAGCTGCATCTGCAGGCACCCATGGAAAATGTGAAGCTCGAGTGGGACTCTTCACTGCATAAGAAAGCTTGGAACATCTCGGAACTCGACCTTCCGTCTTTGCTCCAAGTCGTGCTTGGCCTTGGCGGCCCTGTACTCTTCCTGCTCCTGAAAACCCACAGAACATCATACAGCTTTCGCTTTGTGCACAGAAAATGCAAAAACCTCCACGAATGGCACACGTCGCTCTCCACTCCGCTGGCCTTGAGGCGCTTCATCTTCCTTTCTTCCGCGCCTCGAGGCACACCGCGAAAGCCATGTAGTCTTCTGTGAGAAGAAATACAAGAACAAGTTACCATACAGGCACTACTCAGCAGACATGCCCACATATTTGTATCAATACGGATGAGACTTAGCAGGCGCCACAATGTGCCACAGCTGCGCCTGTCAAAGCTGGCGGCGGCGATGTGCCATCTGCCAGGAAACGCCCACTGCCGAAAACCTGAAAAGAAAACAGCTCGCAACATCTGGGAAGAGAGGATGGAATTGGATGTGTTTCGGCAGCAAGGCATGTGCAAGTTCAATCACGGTGGCACTTGCCTGCAGTTGGGCACTTAATCTAATGGTCGAACGGTAAACACAAAAAAACCGGGCCTGCTTGTCGCCCATGGCTTTGAACATGCTGTTGAAGTCTTTCGCTGCCTTCCGTTCGATCGACTTGATCTCCTGACGCAATCTCGATGCAAGCTCGGGACACATGCAAGCTGCATGCGACAATCGACTGCTGTCCTTCGCGGGACCATGCCATGCTTTTTCGTGCGCCAAGCAATGCCATCGGACCGGCCTCCTTTCGCTCGCGCACGTCGTCGAGGATCTGTTCCCTGAACTCCTGAAGGCCGCGAGCATAGCAAGTCCACTGCGCTCGAGCTTCACAGCAGGCGAAGCTTAAAGATATCTACAGGTCTCTCCGGAGTTCTGGCACATCACCTTGCCTCGTCCATGTCCTCCGCGATCTGCTCTACTTCGTCAAGAGCTTCCAAAGCCTTTCGTGACAAGGCGAACGGAAAGGAGAGCCCCCATTCGTGGTCGACATGATAGCGGTCCTCGTCTGTTCGACCAAGACCTGAGTGGCAAGTGGTTGTCACGGCCATTCCTGACGGCTTCGCCTTTTGTGACACCTCCTTTTAAGCCAGGAACCCTCGAGTGCCTGCGCTTTTCGGAACAAGGCCTTCCAGCAGAACATCCCCCAGCCGCAATCTTCCATTCTTGAACTTCTGAACTATCTGCAGCTCTCTTTGCTGCAGGTACTTGCCGACGCCAAGTACAGCGGTTCGACCTTCTCATCGTCCATCTTCAACTTCAAGGCAGCATCTGCCCTTGGAAGTGTCTGGAAGCAACACTGGTGGTAAAGGCTACTATGCCAGAAAATGAAATCACGTTCAACAAGCGGATTGCCGATGGCTGATGGCTGTAGAACCCTAGGCCAGGACGCTCTCAATGCCGTCTGCCACTGATCCACCATCAGAGCTGCATTGGCCTACCATCTTCGACACTGTGCAAACACATCCACCCTCAAGATCCAGAGTCAGTGATAGATATGGCCTTGTTGTTCAAGCACTGGCGGTGCATGACCTTCAGCTCCTGCTGTGAAAAAAGGTTGAGGGTTCGGACATGGGGCGCAACTCTTTGACCATGGAAGCCTGGCCTTGTTCTCCTTTTCAAGATGAGGCTCGGCTGCAAAATTCTTGAGCATCTCATCCCCCTGGCAGTACCTGTGTCTCCAGACCAAGCCCAGCAACGGCCCTCTTAGCAATGTTGAACAGCAACTGACTTGGAAGGAGCGGAATACCTTGTCAGTGCCCCTTCCCAGTTCTCATTCATGAAGGCCTGAAGCAGACATTCGCGGCTCTTGCAGCTCAGAACGAAGCGACGTCGAACAGACGATCCCCGCAAAACCGACTCTCATGCTGACCTCGGCTCATATTCTTCCTGAATCCCAAACTGAGTCACCGAAGCCACATTGATGTGGGCTCAAAGGGGTGTGCAGCAGCCTCGTTGCCCTCTGACTTAATCCTCTGGCCGAAGTCCAGGACGCCCTGTGCTCATAAAGGGCTTTCACACTTACCCCGTCAGTGCCGAAACCTCCGCAGCAGTGTAAAGTGAATACGGTAGCGTTCTCACTCCACGGACTATCTCCAGCATCCGCCTGGATCTCGCGCCTGTCCAAAACCTGCTTCCTGTCTGGGGCCTGCTGCAGCTGGAGCGCATTCGGGAAGCTCACTGCTGGGGGCAGGATGATTCCCGCCTCACCGTCAATGCCGCCAGGAATGCAATCTGCCTCCACGACCATCTTGTCCATCAAGTCCTCCTCCACCTGAGAGCTTTACAAGCGCGGAAGAACCAGGGAGCCAGTCACTGTGGACCACTGCCGGCCTCTTCTTCTGCCTGCCAGCCGGCGACACCATACGGACCAGCAGTAATCTCGGCCTGGATGCCAAGCTGGTGATGGGCGTCAGGACAGCTGCAAAAAGATCTCCAAGCCAGCAACTGGCCTTGATGGCCTGAAGTCTGTGGTACACCTGCGGCTGCCTGGAAACCGGGGCAAAACCGGAGGAAAAACGGAGAGAAAAAAAGAGGAACAGGGAGAAACAGGAGGGAGGCGACGGGAGGGAACCGGGAACGCTTCGGCCTGAGCTTGTCGCAGAAGAGGAGACCTTCCTTCCGGGCTTCGCAGAGCACCTCTGATACCACACAAGGAGCAAAAAGTCGACTCCATGGAAAGGAGAGCCCGGCAGACGACGACACTTTACAACGTTCTTGGACAACTCCGTGCCTTCCACAGGTACTGCTGTGTGATCTTGTACCTGGTGCCAAATCTGTGCAAGATGCCGTTCAAAAAACTTATGGCCAACTAATGCTGAACACCTTCTCTAACCATAACTACGGCTTCCTTGTGAGCAACATTGGTGCTTTTGCCTACCAAAATGACAAGAGAAAGACTACATAGTCACATTTGCAAGGGCCAAAAGGCCTCGGCTGTTACCGGTACAAATAGTGATGTCCCGCTTCCCTGCTGCCTGTCCGCATTTATGTCCAAGCGTTGTACAGCATGCCGTACTCTGCGACCAAGGCACCGGAACATCGGTGAGATCAGGTGCTTGACGTTGGTTGCACACTTCATCAGCTCGTTCATGATTTCGTACCTGCCATGTGCCACACGTGAGGGCATTCCCTTACTGCAGAGCGTTCAATTCATCGAGAGCCTCCGTTGCTTGCGCTCCAGTTTGTCCAGCTTCGTCCGCTGGGCAGCCTGCACCCGATTCAAGCCGCGGTGCTTTCAGGGGATCTCAGAGGCAGAAGCCTGCATGATCTGACAGGCCCTTTTATGCCTCTGCGGCGCTTTCGTACTTCAGCTTGGATCGCATGGCTGCCTGCACCTGCAGCTGGCATGACTCTTATGCATCGGCTAAAGCAATGAACTCCGTACCAAAAATGGGCCGCGCCATCCTACACCCCGAAACCTTATCATCTGCATGGAAGACTGGAGGTGCCTCCGGCCGCTGCATAAACTTGTTCCAGAACTCGGGGTTCCTACAGACGAAACAGGGCTGCTTCACAACTCCATGCTGAGACCCGCAATGACTGGAAGTCCTGACATCTTTTGCCATTGCTGGGCACAAAAATGGCACGCTGGCAAGACCCTGAACTGCTGCAAACAAAGACACTATAATCTGGCTGACACAGCATACACGCCGTCGTGCTACATGACCAGTCACTCAACCGGCTGCTTTGCTGTTTGTCTACGCAATGGTTCGTGGTGCACCTGAAACTGCTCATATCAAAGGTCAGAACGCCTCTTCTCTGCTAAAGGTTCGAGTATGAAGGATCCTCAAAAAGGCTCACAATGCACAAGGGGAACGCACTCAGCTCCAAGTCCGTCACTGCCGAAGCCGATTGCCACAAAGCACTTTTCAGAGCACCAGGCCAAGAGGCCAAGGTCATGGCGTGCATCGATATCGGAAAGATAGCAAAGGTTGGACACAGTTGCAAGGCCTTTGTAGCTTATGTACAATGATTTCCTTCCAAAGCAGGCCAGAAGCTGCGCAGTCAAAGGCCAAACGGTGCCGGTGCTGGTGTGCTGCACCAGCCATTAAGTTGCGTGCTGTCCGGCCTATCGGCCTATCGCAATCAAGAGCGCGTGAGAACGATTGCACCGAGGCTTGGCAAGGCCGCAGAAACCGCAAGCTTCAACCCCAAAGGGAAGCCACCTTTCCCATTGATGTCCAGCCAAACGCCGATGCACGTCGCAACTAGCCCACCGATCAGAAGTGCCTGGCCAAAGACGCCGTGCCAGGTAAAACGCTTGACCTGGTCCCTGATGAGAACATGTCGCTTCCAAAGGCCCATGGGGGCTTGCAAGAGCACTCCCAGAACCACCAGGTAGCCGACCACGACATGAGCAAAGCGGGCCGCGCCTCGCTTCAACGCCCACTCGTTACGTCCCAACACCAAGCCCCCGAACTGGCCCTCTCCATTCTCCTGGTGAGCCTGGAAGAGAAAGACATATCCGGCAACTGAGAGGACGCCCACAAGAAGCATACAAAGCATGTGAACAGTTCGCCGACTGTTCTTGTCCCATTCTCTCATCGCGTCAGCTTTGTAGGCCCAGAAGCCCAACACGCCAAGACAAGGCCATGCGATACCCATGGATACGATATGCCAAGTGAAAACATGGGAAGGGCCTGTACCTCCCCAAGCAGGTACGAGGGCAGCGGCCGGAATAAGGATCCCCAGCAGTAAGCTGACAACAGTTACAAAAATGTCCAGGGAAACTTCGCTTATTGCAATGAGAGACATGTTGATCTGAAGCAGGGCCCCCACAAGAAGCGTGCAAGCCAACGCATTCATGCTGGAGATGGCAGAGCTGCCTTGCACAAGGTCCTGGCATGCTCTGCTGATGGTGCTTCCAGCTGCTATCCCAACGAAGATCGCTGCTTGATTGAGGACCATCAGGTTCTCTGCACTGAAGAATGAGTTCACAAGCGATCGCTTCACACAAAATGAAGTGAGCACACCCGCCCAAATTGCATTCGACGAGTATGCAACCATGGACCCAACCATAAACTGTAGGGCGCTCAAAGGAACTGGAAGCTGCCAAGGTTGAAACATGAGCAAGACTCCGAGAAGCTGCGCGACTTCCAGTGTGTGCAACCAAAAGGTATCTGGGTACTTGCCTGCCCGGAAACGCGAGAACGCATACTGTGCGAGGGCCATGACCGCCACCACGACGATAAACATCACGCCAGCCGTCGAAGCTGCCCAGCCATAGGTCTCCTCCACAGCAATGACGGAGCCGCTCTCCCAAAGAAGCCTCATTGAAATTACGCTCTGCCTACTGCTACTGTCATGAGGAACCTTCTTGCATGCTTGACTACCTGCGTTCGGACATGTGCAAGAACATGCGCAAAGCTCGCGGCCTTTGAGCCATTCTGATGGCGGCGCTGCTGATCATGGTGAGGAATAGCGCCAAGCCACGCTTCGCGGGCCGCTCCACAGGCCGCTCCGCCGAGGCCTCCGCCGAAGCCTCCGCGGACTCCGTCTTCGCCTCCTCAACGGAAGACTTTAGAAGACCCGCCTCCGCTTCGAGCGTTGCGATGTCATCGGGAATGAAGATCATGATCGCGGCAAACAGCCCTGCGCCCCAGAAGACCATGATGCCGTTGGCCAAAGCATCTTTGATCTCCATGCTTGGAAACGAAAGCAAGCTGACGGCAGCAAGAGCAGGGCCTAGTAGGACGCCACAGGCCACGAAAAACTGGTACAACACCATATGGGGTGTCTTGTGCTGGCCCCTGGCGAAATGCACCATGACCATTGCTGAATTGTACCTCGCAAACCCAACTTCAACCATCACAGAAAAAGGGGCTGGCCTACACAACAAAGCAGATACTTAAGGCTTAAGGTTTTCAGCTAGGCACATACTTCCCGCACCCACACCAGTCATCACTCGACTGGCGAATAAAGTAGGCAAACCAAACGATTGCACCGATGCCAGAGTATAAAGCCCATTGCCCACCATCATGCTCAACGCCGTGAGCTTGTATGCGGTCTTTAGCTGAGCCAACCCAAACTCCTTGAAGAGCAGCAAGCCAAAAATTGCACCAATGCATTCACTGGCAAGAATGTAACCAGATGTGGTTAATTGCTCAGCCTCTGTTTGCACCGTAAGAATTATTGACGTGATGTTCGCCATAACCTGAGCAAACAACTTGTTGCAAAAGCCAGTGGAACATGAGCATCATGATTGCAAGACTGCCAAACCACGACACAAATGCATCGTTGCTATGCCGGGGTGCTTCTGGGCTTGAGTTGAGCAACTGAGCACCGGACACCAATGCACAATGCACCAGTCACACGCAACAAAGCCAATGGCGGTGCGGCATCTTGCTGGGGCTCAGCCGGCAAATTTTCAGCCGGCAAACCACCTAACTGCCGCACCAGGATGGGCAGCAACAGGAGCACTGAGGCAAATAGCAATGTGCCCCCAACAAGAGTACCTGTCGCCAAATCTTCTTCAAACCAGTCCTGTGTTTGCGAAGCATTTGCAGAGGTCACCTTGAATTGCAGCAGTTGCAAGTAGTGCACTGTGTCCATGTGGCATGGGGTTTCGCCACAGATGTCCAATGTGGGCCATCTCATCTCTTGCGACATGAAAGAAACCCACACGAGAGGCGCAAAGATGCGCCTGGACCCGCTGGGAACCAGAGCTGCAAACCCGTGCCAAAAACTGTACTGTGATGGAATGAGAAAATGCGCGCGCGCACTGACAAACAAAGCGATCTCGCCGGATTCACTACGAACTAAGACTCTTCATCAAAGACATCACTTTGTGTTTGAGGCAAACATGGTTAGCCTCCTACTCGAGCGTCCAACTCATCATGAATGACCCCGTACATACCTCGGAAAAACTTGCCTCGAACTAAACAACTTGACGTTCGTTTTTTTGGGGAGTTTCTTGCGCGACTCCACCAAAGACTCTTTGCAGGATTCTCTAGGGTCTGGGATTGCCTGTGGGATTTTCCGTGCATTTAGTGGGGACATGAGCGCACATACTGCAAAATTTTCCACATCATAATCAGGGTAGACGTGCACGCTTTTTCTCCTTTGGGTTCGTGAAACGCCTACGTTTTGCTGGCTTGCCCCCGAGCCCAGTATTCCCCGTCTCGATCAAAAAGCATCGCCATACTATCCACCGAGGCAAACATCACACCATCTGCCACCTCACCGCCGAAGCCGAAAATGCCACAAAAGCACATTTTCCCCTTAGGCTGGCAAAGCTCACGGTTGCTCCGTGAGGACTGCGTGCATGGTGGCTGTCGAATTTTCTCGTCATACATGAAGCTTGATTGTGGACCGAAGAGGACCACGAATGGGCGTTTCCTAGATACAAAGTTGTGTTGCCAAGTACTAGAGTGACAGTCCGGATACTTGAGCTGCGCCGGAAACTGGGCAACTGAGGGGTCATGAGGCCAATGCGGTGCAGCCTGGAGAAAGCGCATCCGAAATCATCAGGGTCCATAAACACCACATTTTTG